TGGATGGGACTGGGAGGCTGTGGTGAGGGCATTCGAGTTGCTTGTAGGAGGGGGTAGTGACTATTTGCTAGTTTGTCTAAAACAACTTCTGGGTCAAATGGGATGAGACCAGTCTTCTTGAATACTGAACAAATAGTTGTAGGCTTAAACGTAGGTATATGAATAGACTCAATTGCTGTAAAGAACTCGATCTTGTTGAACTCCGAGCATCCCGTCCTCATTGCTGAATCTAAAGCTTCTGTATGATAGTACTTGTAGGGTTGGAAGACTACTACATCCAACGGCTGTAGAAGATGAGTGCAGTGCAGTGGGAGACAAAACAGTACAATCATTTTTTCGTCACAAAATGAAATAAGCTCGCGGGTGCCGTGGGATGTATGTCTGTCCAACAGAAGGAGTCTTCAAGTACCAACTTGACGTCTAGCAGAAAACTGATCGAAATGCTGAATCTAGTCAAATGCAGACTTATCATTGGAGTATCCAGTATCAGAAACTCCAATGAGAAAGGTATCTGGAATATCTGTCTTGGTATACCAGTCCTCCATGTGGAGTACTCCGGGAACTATAAGCATGGAAGGTAAGACCTTCCGACTGGCATCTCCACTAATACACTGTATCACAGTCACTAACTCATGATTGCTATAGCTTGCCAGAGATAGATGATGATGAGGCTCCCGGGTTACAACCCATTGGTCTCTTCCTATTCCAATGCAGAAGCCTGTCTCATCAAAATTATACATATCGCGATCCAAGATCCCTTTCTCCTCCTTGATCCTTTTAAACCTTTCAAACCAATCGCGGAGATAATCTGGATCATGAGACTGTTTACGTTCGACATCGAGAGTCTTTTGCTTTCGGATATAGTACTGAGGATATCATTGAAGGAAGCAGCATGTCCACATATGGCTTATGGTTGGTAGAGGTGATGTGGTATCTGTATGGGACGAGAAAAGGATGGAGTTCGCACAACAACTGATATTTCGATATCGTGATGGAATACCTATCTCATCCAGTCGATCAAGGTATTGGCACAGCCCAAGTTCCTGATCTGGTAAGAGTTTCCAATTTGGTACAATCCTCTCCTGACATGACTGACGTCCTTTCCAGCACTGTCAAAGTCGTTGCTCGGGTAAGCCAAATTCCCGTGTGAGGGCAGCAATGTTGGGCTTATTCTCATTCATGACTTTCTCAAGTGCTTGCTGTATCTGCTCCTCTTCATCGAAATCACTTTGGTTTTGCATAACTGTTCTGATGGTATTGAACTGGGATTGAAAGACTGCAATTAATGAAGTTTCCTAGCAGTTCTATCGTTGAGGTGTGACTATTGTTGAGCTGTGCAGCACTCCAGGGGAGTGCCATCTACTTCAGAGGTCACTTAGTGTCCTTCAAAGGGTGGGGACCTCGGCACAGTTACATGATCTGAAAAGAAATTTTTAAAAAATCAGAGGAAAATCTTAAAATATTATAGCATACTTTAAAAATAATTATCTGCTTTCTCTGACAAAAATCTCTTCACTTGGGCATTTTGTTAACAAATACTGAAAATTTTCAGTATCGGTAAGATCTGTGAAAACTTCTACCCTCTACCTTTGGTTACCTTAGGACATTCAAATATGCTACATGAAACATATGGGTATGATTGGCTAACACTGTAAAGTAACCTAATGCACCTTCTAGTAGTTACTCGTTACTGAAAAATCATCTTTTCAACTTTGAATACCCCTACTGTACACTCACCGGCACCAGAACTCCGAGAAACAGGACTCTCAAACTTCCACACAACAGGAGCTATTACCGGTACCGTAACTGTATGTTCCCACCGATGACAGCCTGCTTTACTATCACGTCGTGCCAGCCCACCCGTCTCCACCCCTCAAAGTTTATCAGAACCGTCGCCACGCCCCCACCATCGCAGGTGGCGTGCCGTACCGGTATTTCACAAGTACGGTACGGTACTACTGTACAGCCCACAATACCATACGGGTACTGTACGAGTACTACCGGTTTTCAAAAGTATCCGGATGCCTTGGCACCAAGCCAGGCGAAAAGAAATGCCAAGGCATCCGGATACTTTTGAAAACCGGTAGTACTGCACCACCCGACTCGGATCTCGCTTATCACGCGCTGGGGGAAACCCCTTCTTCCCACTGAGTCGGCGTGACACAAATAGGAAAAATCCCTTTCCTTTGGACAAAATCCTTTCAGCGTACCGTACTTCACGATCCAATTGTGAGCCGTTGTTTTTTTTTTCCTTCAGCTCAAAGCTGGGAGACGGACCAAAAAAGTAAGTAATCGGAGTGTGGAGGAGCATTGGGAATAGCGGTTGTGATCGCCTGGCCAGCGAATGTAACAGACGTTAGAAAATCAAAAAAAGAAAAAACAGGATGATGGCAACCTACGGTAGTGGAATTGTTCCGGAATAAGTCTATGAGTCGAAGGGAGGTCTAGGCCCTCCAGAAAGGCCAAACAGATAACCTATCGTACCAGCGCTATCGGGTCGGCACAGTACCCCAGCTAAAATGCAAAGCTAATCCCGGACGACGGCGGGCAGGCCTGAAGGGAATTGAGTTGGGAAGGCATGGGGTAGCACAGAACAGATCAGATGGCTGACTTAGATGGACGACAAGATGCCTTGTGGAATGACACCTCTTACGGGCGCAATAGAGTTCTGCTGCTGCCGCCGGTACTGGTCCGTGGCCACAACAAATTAATGCGCTCAAACTCCACTATCGGTGTCGGCTCAGTTGAGCCGTAAAATGGACAAGGAACTCACTCGAGGGGGTGGCCTTCCCGGCGACGACGACGAAAGGCCAGCCTATCAGCATCCTCCAAAGGGCAATTAGAGTTGGGCCTCACCGCGCCACGGGTTACGTCTGTGATTCACGGCTGACTTGTCTCTCCTGCGATTCGAGCGTGTGGGAGGGAAGCTCTGCCAGAGTCAAGGTGCACGTGCGTCATGAACGTTTGTCGGCGCCAACCGGCAGATATGCATCAGGAAGCTCCGGGGCATTGGTGGTGCCGTGGTATTCTGACTGCGCACCCGGGTACAGTACTGTACGAGTACCGTATGATATCGACCAGTTCATCTCGCTCGCTCGCTGATGAGTGAGCCCCTCCGACGCAGTACTAGTACCATATCGTACACACCGTACCGTACTGCACCCGTAATTGAATGACATCTGTGAGCACGATTGCCATTGCACAGCGCCAAAATTCAGCTTTTTCTCTCTTCCGCTCCGGTCCCTGTGTGGTGCAACGGCGGTCGTCTTCACAAGCGTCATTCAGATGTGAGTAGGGTGCTGTAGTCGGGGCGTGGGCATGCAGGTAAGTTAAGGCTGTCAAACTTTGGCTCATGGCTCATCCGTCCAAATCACAGTACTAGTGTATAGACTAACCCTGCCTCCAGCAACTAAATGCACCGGTACTCGCCTAACCTTTGCCGACTTTTGGCGAAGGGAAAAAATAGATCGCACTGTCGCCCTGTGGCTGTCGTAGAGAGAGAACCCCCTTGCTCGAGTGATTGAGAGGCAACTGGGCCAGACAGAAGGGCTCCTGTACAGCAGTACGGCACAGCAAATACGGCATCCGGCCGCAGTTGGGGCTTATCGGTGGAAGGCTGGTGGCCTTGCATACCTTCAGACGCGTACGATGCCCGACCGCACCGTACAGCACAAAAGTGCTCGGGTAATCAGATGAAGCGAGTGGCTGCGGATATTACGGGATCCATCATACTGCCCTTAACAAGAACCAAAATTTAATGACAGAATCCCATCCGTTCGGAGTAATCATACGGTACTTGTACCGCTCCGATAGGATCTGCTTTGCTACATGAGCTACCATCCCAAACCTTGGCCCTGGACCCAAGCGCCAATGCCATGCAGCACCGCAGCGGGGATTCAGCGCTCGGAGCAGCTCGCACAGCACAGTCCAGCCCTGTTCCGATCTCCCCAGGCGCGGGTCGGTTGCCTCAACTTTGGTGCCCGCCATGGTATGCCATAATTCAATTCGGTGATACGAGCACTCGCAACCTCCTCACCGCTCACACAAATAGGTGTTTACCTAGACAGTCATAACTGCATACGCTACCTGGTCACAACCCAAATTTCCTCTAATGTGCAAAAGGTCTGAGCCTTCGCATCCATGAGTCCTTAACTCCACCCAATCATGCAGATACAGCAGTTGGACACTCGGATAGAAGAGAAAAAGAAAAGAAAAAAAAGAGGAAGGTAGGAGGTGTCTGCCTACCCCATCATACCACAAAACACTAACCTCCGATTTCTGACAAAAAATAATAATAATCTCGGACCCATATGGTACTCATTCAGGACCCGCGATCCGAAGGGGAAGGAAAAAAGTGCAAAACCTTTTAGTGAGGCACGATACTTGTAGGTGGATAGTTACAGCATGGTATGCTGCGACATGATCTCTTTTAATAATAATAATAATAGTATGAAGCTATGATATCTATGATACCCGGGTCGCCTGAGGGGGGGGGATCTGATTACGCCGTAGGGCCCGAATGGCCGGGTTTGCTGAGTCCTCGCATAACGGTAGAGGTGCAGCCACCGCATCTTAGGATTTGCCCTGATATGCTTGATGTGCAGGGTGCGGTAGGCTATGGCGCTGGTGATGACGATGATGCTGACGCTGATGACAGTGATGGCTACGGTACTCCATACGGTGTGTTCTACGCCAACCGTACACTCCTCAGGGCCGTTCAAGTCAAGTTCCCGGGTGAATCCGCCGTACGGGGCTTAACTGCGCCATGGCTTTGCAGAGGAATTGCGGGGAAAGAAGCTCTACTTTCCCTTTCCCCCAATCTGCGATGGTAGTAGATAAATACCCCCGAGGATACCCCTCCGCTTCTTATTCCCACATTCACATTCACATTCATCCATACACGCATACACACATACCGTTCCGCAATTGAAACGACTGGAAGAAAAGAAAAAAAGAGAAAAGGGCCTCGCACATACATAAATTTACAAGCCAAGTTCACAATGGCGACGCTCTCCCCGCCCGCCATTGACAATTCTTCACTACCGATACAGTTTTCCCCCCTGTCGATATTTGGAGCTTTCATACCTAGCTACGCCTACCCACTAATCTCCCACTTTGGTCTCAGCAATGCGGTTCCACACATCCTCACCTTCCTCGCCCTCTCTACCGCCGCGGCGACTGGTTGGATATACTGGTCCGACATATTCTCAAGGTTCTTTCGCCGGTTCTTCATGTCGACGGCGCTGATCCGCTCCCGGGACGATCTCTACGACCACACGATGGCCTGGGTCGCCGAGCAAGGCTTTTCTGCCCGGGCCCGCTACTTTGTTGCGGCGATGGCGTTCGGATCCTTATTCGCTGAGGGTGTGCCCGGGGTCGAGGATGAGGATGAGGGACCGCAAGAAGAGGATATTCCCTTTTGGGAGCGAAATCGACGGGCGCCGTTGCAGTTCACTCCGGCGCCGGGATTCCACTTTTTCAAGTACAAGGGGAAAATGGTGATGCTGGAGCGGATCGTTGAGGATAACGACAAGTCATGGTTCCCGCAAGAGATTCTCGAGTTCTCCATCATGGGCCGGAACCCCCAATTGCTGAAGGAATTGCTGAAGGAGGCGAGGTCGAGGTACCTCTTGAAGGATAAGAGCAAGACTGTAGTTCACAGGCCAAAAGCCCCCGAGGCCGTCGGCTCACCCCCGAAATGGGTGCGCTGTTTTGCCCGCCCCAGCAGACCCCTCTCCACCGTCGTCCTGGAACAGAGGCAGAAGGAAATGTTCGTCGACGATATCAAGGACTACCTCGAACCCGGCACCCAGAAGTGGTACTCGGAACGTGGAATTCCCTACCGTCGGGGGTACCTCCTGCACGGGCCCCCCGGAACGGGTAAATCCTCGCTCAGCTTCGCTGTCGCCGGCCTCCTCGGATTGAAAATATACGTCCTCTCCCTCGCCAGCAAGACACTTTCGGACTCGGGGCTGGCCAGTCTCTTCGACACACTGCCCCCCCGCTGCGTGGTGCTACTGGAAGACATCGACACGGTCAAGATTACACACTCCAGAAAGTCCGCCGACGCAACAGAGAAGAAGTCCAAGAAGTCCAAGACAGACACGAGCAACGAAGTCGATGCCAGAGTCACGCTCTCCGGGCTACTCAACGTCATCGATGGCGTAGCCTCCCCGGAAGGCAGGGTTCTAATCCTCACATCAAACCACCCGGAAAAACTCGACGCTGCGCTGATCCGCCCGGGCCGCGTGGACATGAAGATCGAATTCAAGCTTGCGGAGGAGGAAGCCATCGCGGGACTATTTGCGAGAATGTACGAGGACTATGGTCACCTCACTCCCCGGGAGGGGGAAGAACTCCCCACTGACTCCTCCGGCATACCCACACCACCCTGCACGCCTACTGCCCCTGCCCGCCCCACTACACCTCTTACCGGCCCCGCGCTCATAGCAGAGAAAGAGCGCATTATAGAGAAGAAGATGGAGGATGAGAGATCTGCGGAAGAGCGCGCCGCGAAGGAGAAGCATTTATCGGAACTTGTGGCCAAGTTTACAAAGATCATGCCACAGGGGGTTTTCTCCCCGGCGGACGTTCAGGGGTACCTATTGCAGCACAAGAATCGGCCGGAGAGGGCGGTTGAGTGTGCCGAGAAGTGGGTTTGTGATCGGATGGAGGCTAGGAAAGCGGGGAAGATTGATTGATCCATCGTGTAGGCCATGGCCCCCGAATGCGGCGTGGCTCTGTGTCTGCTTCCGTTTTTACACCTCTTTTCTATTATTTATTGCCGGCTTTTATTAGACCTACAGTAAGATAGACATATTGGAGTTTCTTTCCTATATATAATCTCTTTTGCTGCTTTTTTAAAAGTGCTTGCATTATTGTTTACTTAGTCTATGGGTGGAGTTATGCTTGACCACCTCCAAGTTTTGTTCAAATATATATCTGTTCTCTCACTCCACTTCTCGCGCTACCATTGCCCTACTATTGCTCTCTCAGCCAAATATCCGGGGGCCCCAACCGTTCACCGAATGGCGCTCTAACTCAATGCTTCACATACCATCACTCGCACTTCACCCCCTCTCGCAAAGTTTGTGTGCAGCAGCTCAACCCACGGCGATAAACGAGATGGGAACGAACGAGTGCATAGCGCTACATATGGCGCTCCCACCCCGCCCTTGTCAGTATTCGGGCGTGTGATCCCATGTACTCGAGTACAGTACATATTTGTACGATACTAGCAATGGCGAGCTCACAGTCCGCTAAAGTAACCAGGAATGGTATTCGCGGATTCTTCGGACGTGTAGGATGGATCCACGTTTATGAGCAAAGCAACATTCAAAAACCACATCCCGACGAGATACTCCTTTTTATTTTTATTTCCTTATCTATTACCCCGGTTCATTTGGTATCGGTAGCTCGAACGCGGAGAGGATTAGTACTGTAGAGATTTGGCGCATAGACCGTATGGAATTCTGTCCGAACCGTTTTAGTATTTACTTATACTCACAACGTGCAGTGCTCGGGAACGAGGGGGATTGTGTATAGCCTCTAAAGTTATGATAATCTCCGTCTGAAGGGTGCTAGCTATACTGTACACCCGTAGTTGACGAATAAGTTGGTAGGCGCCGCGACGCGGTTGCGCAGTTCTCATCTTAGCCCAATTTTAAGAGTACTGTACCATACACAAATCAACCTCAAGTATCATACGGTACTCTATGCCTCCCACGATCTCACATACGCCCTGACCAGTCCACTATAGTACGAGTACTAGTACTCATAATTGAGCGACGCTTGTGATCACAACTGCTATTGCAGCCCACCAACCTCCATTATCCACGATACAGTTAATATAATACCTGAATACTGGAGATGCCTAAGTGTAGCATGTACAAAGCAAAGGAACACAACCCCTCCGCCAGCACCGGCACTTGATGGAGGATTTTGTATTTCTATTTTGGGTATAATGTCTTCTCCGCCTGTAGGTCCTGGATACAGCATGAAGCCCCAATGTATCCTTTCAGTGGCCTTAACGATTCCCGCCTACCTTCCCCCCTCACTGCCAGACCGGATCTACTTTTCTACGAATAGGTATGGAAGAGCTGGCAGTTTTTGCTGTTTAGTATGGTACAGTACAGTACTGTACAGTACTCGAGTATCCCTCCAAGCTTCTAACCGACACCCCGAGACTCAATACGTTAGGCGACGAAGAGCGATGTCGTGGTGAAATGATAGAATCGGTGTCACGATACACAAGGCTGCGAAACCACAACCATCCCACCCTCTTCTTATTCTTCTTCAGCTCCCCAACACAGTAAGAGCACCTTCCCTACTAGTACCCACCCCCTCACAGCATTCGAAAACACAATGATAGGAGAGCGTCCGGAGATCCCAGCGGTGACAACGGCTCTTTTATTCCCTCAGATAATTTTAGTTTTACCACTGCCAATGATCAGTCCGGGATCCTGGCGGGGGATCTCCACCCAAGGCTCGCGCACCAAGCCAAGGTGCTGCAGCACCCCCGCTTCTACAGTGTATAATATCATAGGAGACTGGTACCGGTATCTGGGAGCTGATCGGTTTCGGGGCTGGCGCGACGACACCTACGACGGTAAATCTGTCAGTGCCAGCATTCGTACAACCACGTTTTGCCACCGCAACTCAGGCGCAGACAAGCCTTGTATCAGGCAAGATTCAGGGCCTTTAGGGGAGAGGAGGGTGAACTGATGAAATCCAGTGCTTGCGAGCCACGGTCGTAGTTCATTAGTGATATATACAGTACCTTATGAGATCCGGCCTGAGTGCCTGCTTATATCACGCCTCAACTTCATCTCCCAGTGGGAGTAATCCGAGGCAAATACGCCAGGAGTCCCTCTGAAGCGGATTGTTAGTGGATTGGTAATGATTCTGGAAAACTCCCAGGCTTTCAAAAAGCAAAAAAAAGTAAGCAAGGGCCAGGGGATACAACTCGTTGGCATCGCGAAACTATTACTCGACACCTCGTTCTTGCCGTAAATTCTTAATGCTTGGACGTTCCGGGTAAATGGGAGGCAGGCCATTGACCAAAGATTCCTAATTCGCTTCGTGTCCTTCAGCAAAAGTCACCGGGAACTCCAATCGCCCCAACTGGAAGATCATATGCTTAGGGTGAGGTTAGAAAATATCCCGCTAGAAGAGCAGCAACCGTCTCCATTAGCCCCCCATAGACGATACCACCCTACCCCGGGCTTGACTGAGCGAGGGTACTGCACCCGATGAGATGGGCAATGATCTGGAGTTAGCCCAAGGCGGCAAGGTATCATAACTCGACCATGTCAAGCACACTCGACGGAAACTATTCCGCCCGCAAGTCGAACTCGTCTCCACTTTCTCGCCACCAGGCCCCTTGCCCCCCAAACATTAGTAGCATACAGGCCATGATAGTCGGATAGACAGCAGTAGTGCTCAAGCGCGAGTATGCCTTGATGGGCCAATCCACCCGGAACCTGTAGCCAATTCTTAAGGAGAGCAAATAGACATTCGAGAGTCTCGTTTCTCCCCAGGTAGATCAGCAAGTGGCCATAGGGCTTTGTCCATCGGTACCATTCACCAGATTTTGATCAATGGTATTCCCTCATTCGGACCGATCAGGGATAATAGAGGCTTCCACCTCCCACCTCATTCGGCGCATACCAGAAAACCCCAACCTTTTACCCGCAGCCAAGGAAATTATACTTCAACTTCAAAGTCGGAAAACATCACCGAAAAACAATCCCAGAAAATTTGGACTCTCCCCCAAAAAAAACCATATCCAGGGCTACTTTCCTTACTTTTTTTTTTTGATTTCGACAGCTGAAAAATTAGGCAGAGAAAGGGTGATTCGTGTGAAAAATGTTTCCCGCGGTCCCAAAGAAGGTATCATAATAAGTATGGTCTCGACACATAGAAAATCACAAAATTCAGTAGTGTTTCCGGTTTACTTAGCCCAAATCCTCTCGATACTTATTTAGTTTGTTATAATATTATCCCCCTGCGGGGTTCGCGGTGGTAAATTTAATTCTAAAAGTATGACGGTCGTTGTCATTGATGGCTACCCATACGAGTATCTGTGTGTAACTCACCGGTACAGCAAATGTTGGCTCCCCGCTGGTGCTATAGGAGCGCCTGCATTGGCTGATAGAATCTCTTTTCTCTTGTTTGACGCACAGCAACCCGGCTGGCGCAATGGTAGCGCGTCAGACTTCTAATTTCCTTTGAAATCGATATCTGAAGGTTGTGGGTTCGACCCCCACGTTGGGTTTTCATATTTTTGGCTACACGAATACAGTGTGAGTACAGTACACTCTTCGCCATATCCACGACGAGACAGGGGTTAGGCGACGTTTTGCAATTTCCTAACGCTGAGGCACACAGCTACTATTGCATATGGGGCAGGAAAAACTAGCGAGAGCCTCACGTTTTTGGTGGTATGCAAGGGCAGCCGTGTTCACAAGCGCCGGGAAGTTACGGGTACAGAACAGCACACTCCCGTCGGCAAAGTTGTCGTGCCGGCGTAGCCATACAGCATGTGAAGGCCATACACCGGTATGCCTTGGGCGTTACCAGAACTGTGCGAACACGAGAGTAATTTCTCCCTTTTCCATTCTTCGCCCCCATCGCCACACCGGCCGCGGAATCACTGATCCGTATCATACGAAAGCCCTCCGTTCCCTCTTTCGTCCCTACACACGTTCCCGCCGCCACTGTGTACACCCACCCCTACTCTCCATTCCGGAAAATCACAATCACAAACCCTCACTCGTAATATTTTACCCGTCACCGCACACCCCCATCTCCATACTCCGTACACAACCCGAAGCTGCCAGAAGATCTCCACCCCGCTTCGCTATTTGTCCAACTCGCAGATGGATATGAGATACCGATACCGAACACTGATCGTGGCGTAACTAGGCCTAGCCAGCCGATCCTTTAACCACAGCGCACAATCCCATTCCTAACATCCTGACGCGACGTGGCTGTACGGTACTTCACAGAGATATTGGTGAGTCAGAAGTGATCTATGATACGGTACGATAGATGCTCACTGCTGACCTTGGAGTTCATGCTACCCTATCGCAGTCAGTGGATCCCTTGACATGGTTCTTTTTTTTTATACTGCTGTGGGTTTACTGTAGATATAGAGCGCAGTGAATTTGAACTACCGTGCATAGCAGCAGTGGTGGGAATGACTGCACCATGTACTGGGGTTATTGTATATATACCTCTGCGCCAGATTACGGTGCTCTTATGATACTTGGACTATGAACGGGGTGGAGTGGAAGAGGAGTGTAATTTGGCGGCGGGGGGCAAGGTTAGAGTGTAGATATCACGCCGTTGGGTTTAAATATGTTGGCCGCATCGTATCGTACAAGCAGGGGAGTATACACAGTAGTGAAATATGGTGAAATGGGTTATCAAATTATTTACAAGGAAAGAAAGGAATAGAAAAAAGTCTGCCTGACTGCTCTGCACCACTGATGGCTGCGCAGCCCAATCTGCCAGAATTCCAGAAAGAAAAGGAAGAAGAAAAAAGATATGATACCAACTTGGCCAGTAGGATATCCACCATATATACTCCCTGTGAAGGAACGCCCCCCTTCTCAAAAGGCAGTCCCAACGCGGTTTCATAGGATTAAAAAAAAAAACAAGATATGATAGAAAGAAATAGTTACGGTACGTACACCCTTCACCCCCCTCGCTCCGTCCTAAACTCTTGGTCTCCAACTCCCGGATCGCCACCACCTCGCCCCTATATACAAGGGAATTCGGTTCGACCGTCAGAATTCCAGAACGAAAAACTATACAGAGAACCGACCACTCGCGCCACTTTTCGCCCAACACCCTCGATACATACCACATACCATCCCAAAGTTCACATATCCGACCAAGAGAACTGGTCTCATTAGTGAATACCACACCCCCCTGTCCGCACCAAACCCAAACGGTGTGGGCCCAACCTATAGTATCACAACTCCTCGAACGCCCCGTCAAATACGGAGTCGCGGGCACTTCCATTATCGGGATTCTCTAACGTGCCCTCAGCTATCATAGCATTTCCAGTCCACGATATATATACTGCATATATCGTACGCCAATTCCATTCCATGGCAGGTTATGCGTCGCTAAATTTACCAGTAATACCACACGATGCCTCACATTGGACCAAAATCCGCCCACCAAAGCGTGCAGGCCTCGCGGGCACTCTCCCCGTTTCATTCGTCCAGATGCGGATTCCCAGCGGCGGAAACACCACCCCCTCCAAGTCACCCGTTCCTGGACAGATGGTTACGCAAGGGAGCCCACATCCTCTCGCAAACGGCCATCTAGTAAGAAGGAGGAGAAGATTATTATCACCAGTGCAGAAAACGACGTGAAATTGAAACCAGGATACTTTGAGTGATTGATTATCCTACCCCCCCCCCTTTACAAACCACGCTCTAAGTTGCTACACAGCAGGAAATCATCCTGGATCCCAAAAAGATGCTGGCTTCCCAAAGTGTACCGGGCGTTACGATAAAATAACGCCAATGCATACAGAATAAAAAAGAAGAAAATCAAGCAGAGGATGGTTCTTTGATTTTGGTCTATCACTGGTTACCCCCTCAGCCCCCAACCCAACCCCCCGAAAACCACGAGGGTGACGAATAGACATGCCGGATAAACATCGTCAAGCCTTATATCCACCACCACTAAGCTATATATTCCCTAGCTTACCGGCAATGTACTATACCATCTTCACAACCGCGATCGCGAGTGAGAACACATGATTAACATCATAGGTAGCTCACGGTATAATGAATTCCCAAGCTCGAGTAATTCCCCTTACAACTCAACACAGCAAAAGTCGGGAATCCGCTTCCCCAGCTACGGGATTATGAAGATTTATACACCCGGTGGGTTGCTGTATTATACCATCCTGTTCCCATCGCCCCCGGGTTTGGCGTTTTGAAGTTTACCCGTGATTCAATTTTGTTGTTGGAATAGTTGGCTGGCGTATTTGAGAGATGTGGGGAAAGTGCACCATACAAGCACGAGCCCCGGGCCATGCCAGTCACGGTACCCGCAACATAACTTAAATCCGGTCGTGGGAAACCATTGCTGCAACGTGGTATCGTGGTTCGGCGCCATCCTTCTACCTCCACTCTACCGACCACCCCCCTACCTGCCGGGCCACTCCTGCGCTGCTCTGGCACTGCTTGTGAAGGGGATTGGAGTCGTTCATGCCCGATTCTGCACCACAGCTACACCCGCGTACGGCGTTCCACTTACAGACCTAGGGCATATAAAGGTATGCTTGCGGGCTATATGTAAGGTTCTTTGGCCCAGAAGTAGTGTCATGGCGGCGAGATTATAACAGGCAGCCACCCCTTTATCGCTATGCTGTTATTGTAGAACGCCACGACAAGTTAGGTTGGCGGAAGCCTGTACCCGTCCTATGGATTGGGTGGAACATGAGCACGGCTGAAGATTTAGAGAGGGCCACACAACAATCCCATAAAAACGGTTCCTGATCTTGGGGACCTAAACCCACCAATATATCATTTATATTTATGGCTCCCTTTCATGCTAACATCCCAACATCATTCAATCATAAGGTCGGAAATCCAGTTCAAAAATTAAAGAATTTTTGTAAGAAACAAAAAGAAATTAGGGCGTGCTTCCACGTCATGACCTCGGGCTGCACTGTGAATGAAAAATAAAATTACTCAAACTGCGAAGGACAAGTGTACAGGAAATCTATGTCATGTTTTCTTTTAGTGTCGCCGGGCTAGAATCGATATAGGATAACTCAGACAAAAAACAAAGCCATCTTTTGTAAAGTGTTCCCCCAATCTAGTGCTTTCCAGTTGGCGCTTCGCCGGTAAGCTTGGCAACAGCTTCTTTGGCCCTAAATTTCAAGTGGTCTTAGAAAATCTCCGGGAACATGGGATCAGTAAAACGTACATATCGCCCAAACCGACCATGCAAACAGTTTGCCAGACACCGAGACCGATTCTAGGAGTGACACCACGGTACAAACCCTTCAAGCCATTGTTCTGGTAGATGTACTTGGCCGCTTTGGCAACAGTCAGATTCTTAGGACGGTTGGGATCCGCCTTCTTGCTTTGCATCTCCACTCGAACAACCTAACCCATAGATTCAGTACTTCATCTCTCTATACCAGCACGCACAAAACCTCGGTCACTTATACCTCGATAGGCTGGTTCCAGGCACTCAACCCTCCACCAACAACACTGGCCCCAATCTTCTCCCACGCGCTCAGCCTGTCACTCTCTCCTTTACCAGTCGCTTTGCGAATACCTTGCTCAGCAAGTCTACTCAGTCCAAATCTACTACCCCAGTTGGTCATCTGTCTGATAGCAACAGCATTGACACCCCTATTTATTCCAGCAATGCCCTCTTTTCGGTAAATGTCGGCAAACACAGACCAAGTGCCCTGAGGCTTCACTCCAGTAGAGGCTTGCTTGTGACGTGTAATCTCAACAGTCTTCATGCAGGTGCAGAATCCCATGGTAGCGTATGCCTGAGCGACACCACCAATTACACCACCAGTAATACCAGCGGCGAATGGCCCGGCTCCAAAGGTGAGAGCATGATACCTATGCAGGGCGTCAGCCATCGCGCAACAAATCCCGAACCCCCTCCTAGACGCCAAAACTATTCAATTGGTTTACTTACTCGGCTTCAGAAGCAACAAACATAAGGACGGCTCCCTTGGTAGAGGCTTCAATCCATGCCTAGACAAAAATCATCCCCACAATCAGTTTCGGTCCGCTAAAATCAACCCGGTAATCTCCGTGCGCGGCTCAACTCCGCCATTTGCACGTAGCACAAATGCGGAGAAAACAAAGACGCCATTAAGACACATGATAGCCTCGGGATAAGGAAAAAAAAAAATACTAACCCATGGAATTAACCCTTGGTAGACTGTCAAGGTTAAAAAGAGAAGATCAGCCTCAACATCGCCAACACGGAGCAGAAGAGGAAAGAAACTAAGGCGAAGCCAACACACATCCAAAAACCCCTCCACGACCCCACGTCTTCTTAAACGCAGTGACTATGTTATCGCCTCTATTGGCAGCCATATGTGTCTAAAAACGAAAAATGTGTCAACAATCTTCCCCCAATTGGCACGGTGAGTTGGAAATTTTGTACTTTAATAACCTCTAAGGGCTATTTTTGGATCAAAAACGAAATGTTAGCTATCGTGACATCTTTCAATGGTTTCCTTGTTTGTATCTGAATCTTACTTGACCCAATGTAGTGACTCTGCGCGCAAAATCAGCAAACAATTAGCTCCAGGAGTCCCATCGGATTCGTAGGGGCTTGGAGGAAACTTACTCAAACATATTCAATCCACCGCCCACTGTCACAACCACAGTCAGCACTTCTCTGCCCCCCTCCAGTACATGGTAAACTTACAGAGCAGATTAGAGAAGCTCACAGGCTTCTTCTTGGGCGACTGAGCGGAATCTATGGCGGCCATCGGTGACTATTGGTATCGGAAAAAGGGTCCTGACCAAGGACAGTATACAGTTCTGGGAACGAAGGTGTAAGGAACCGCAAAAGCCGTCGGAGCGAAAGGGGTAGGAGAAGTCAGAGGAGACTTCCAACAAACTAAACGACTGAGGAGCTGCAGAGAGATGCGAGTTAGAGATCCGAGAGCCCACAGTAACTTGAACGGGGGGTGGAGGGATGGGAGAAAAGAAAGGGGAGGATTCCTCACCGAGGGATGATGAAGGGGATGAGTTGTTGGGGAGATGAGAATGGAGGAAAGAGTAAATATTTTCGGCGTGGAATAGATTGTTGAGTAGCCTTGCCCCCAGTGGTCGGATGCACAGCGATTTTGGTGAAGCAGCCTGGCTGGGCATTCCCTCTCGCGCCTGCCGGTGCTGGGGGATCCGAGTATCACAGCATATCGCTCGGAAATCCGAACAATATCATTCAGGACCCCAGAAAGTCAATGGAAAGACCCTAATTCCGGTCGGGGCACTTTAATACTCTATTACCCCGACCGACTCCAAACCAGCTCTTTCTATCGTTTTCAACTTTCTACAATGCACTGGTACCGGTACCTGAACCCCGGCTGGTTGGACTGTAGCCCCAGTGGCGATCTAACGGTACGGTAGTCTTGGCATCCGTCTTTGGACCCTGAATGGGGTTTGGCACGATAACTGGCGCAAAAGTTTCGGATTACCGAAATCTTATCTTACCGGCAAGGGCACCCCACCCAGAGACCCTGAGTGTCCGCATACCGGTATTTACACACAAGAGCTGTTTGCACAGCACTTTACAGCTCATCGGAGCCGGCAGCAGGTACTATATCCCGGATGCACCAATATATCATATCAAATTATTTCCATGATGGCGGGCCAGGACAGTACCGGTGATTTGCAGACATATTTCCAGATATCCGAGGCCAATAAAAAGCTAAACACCGCTCAGAAGGCGATGACATGGCGTACGATAATCCACCGGAACTTGAGGTCGCCAACATCTAGCTTCTGGCTTTAGCTTTCGAGTCTACGTAAAGTATGATACAGACATCCCTTATTACCCTAAAACCGGCAAAGCTACATCACACCAACAAAGCAATAAACTCCCACTCCTTTCCTTTCCTTACCGAACAAAAGGAAACCAACAAAAACCGCTCCTCGTAACCATAGTTTAACAAAACATCGTAATCAGAAGAGTCGAGCAAGAAATAGAGGTCTATTGTGGCTATATTTCTCCGCTCCCACCAAAAACATGAACAAAACGGGAAAGCGAAGAAAGAAAGACGGTTATGCACCAACAGTCGTTTCCCTCGGTCGCCATGTATCTTCTTGCCTTGCTCCCGGAACGAGCCAGGAAGTGTTGCCAGCAATCTGTCCATTCTCTGCCTTCTCTCCGAGGCCTACTGCGTAACCGTTCGCTCCATTTAGGTGTAGAGATCTCCCGGGTAGCGGTGATTCTCTCCCACTCCTTGAAGTGATGGGAAGAAGCGGGTCAAGCGCTTTTGTTTGTTCCACAAGAACTCTGCGCTCGCCCCTCGCAACGTCTCCGGCTCTATCATAGAGGTACAGGCCAAAGAACCTGCATGCCAAGCCCGTCAGCAAACCCGGCTAACCCTCCAGCTTCTTGTCAAAAGAATTGGATTACTTGCGTCAATGAAATACCAACAGCCTGCACAGTTGTGGTCTTATTACCAAACCACACGATGGCCATAACAATCACGAATATCCGTTTGATCAGACTTGCAACGCTATAGGTGACCGGGCTGACGAGACTCAACAATACAAAGGCAATTATGTTTTGACCAAAGTGGACTGTCCCATTGAATATAAACTGCATCACAAGTTCATATCCTGCCAGTGGCTCCTCTCCGTGTTTACCAATTCGATCTAATAGTGGAATCCTCCCCTCACGTGCATATATCTGAAGAAGCTGAAACCCCTCAGAGTAAATCCAAAGAGGTAATGTAAGTAGAAAGGCCATTCCGGAGGAATAACATAGCAAGTTGAGTTTGTCCAACTTCCTCTTGTGAAGCGGGACTGAGGGATCTGCGCCAGTCGACGACGACTCGTTGAACAATTTTTTCGAAAAAATGTTTTGCGACACAAAGATAACTGCCCCAACAAATGCACAGGTGATCCCCCAAAGATTCCCATGAAACTCAACAGAGCAAGCTAACATCACGCCAACCGTGAGAGGGAGAAGGGATATGTAGGTCGCCCTTGAGTAGCTGATCTTGAAGAGAAGGCGGTAGGCAAACACGGTGAATAAAGGCGACATTCCCTGTTGAGGCAGTCACTCAGCCTCACGATACCCGAGACCCAAACGAAGGGAGAACTGACCTTGATTGTATGCACTAAGCTTACCGGAATCTTTTGAGTCGCAATGCTACTGGCAATATGACCTCCAACTTGAAATATGGCCAAAGGCGCAGTAGTTGCAATTACAGCCCTTGTAGGAAATCTCAGCCCACCGGCAAGACCGGGTACCGACCGCAAGATGGTGAACTTTGCGAAAATTGAGAGTAGGATACACCACGACGAGACGAACGCGAACTGAATGATGGTGAGGGTAACGGGCTGAGGGAACGAATTGAGTATTGTTTTCGAGGACGTGTTTGACAACGCAGATGACAGATACCTGCAGTTCCGAGGATTAAATTGATGCGATGAACGAATGTAACGACCCAGGGCGGGAAATACCAAATCAAACATAATACCTGTAGGGGAGAAGGTCAGATATCGTGCATATTATTCGTTCCGGAGGGCAATTCCCCAACTCACGATAAGTTTTGGGCTTAGCGGAGCCTTCAGGGAATCTGCTATCTCGCCCGCTGCCTGAGCTACGCTCCCACTTCTACCCCTACCATACCTCATCTTCCCCAACACCTGCGATGCAGTTCGAGCATGCGAGTGAGTGTGATGAGAGGCAGCTCGAGGTTGCCAATATTCCTCCGGCTTGGGGGGAGAAGGAGCGCGCGCCGCCGAAGAGGTTGGGAGAACGATATTTCCGCTGCCAGAGGGAAACTCGAAGGCAGCCAGAGGAGGCGAACGGGAAGGCATGGCTGATAGCGTATCTTAGCAGTTCTGTTTCTCCGCGTGTGGGCAGCCGGGGGTGCGTGGGGGGATTGGGGAGGAACTCTAGAGCAATGTTAAACGAGAGTCGGCGGCGATAAAGCTATCGTTCGGAGGACATAAACACGGCCGGTGCCGGGGATGAAGAGAGGAGGAGAGAAGAAGAAAAAAGAGTGTAGAGATACAAAGAGTGGGGAATCCGGAGAAGAGGATACGGTAGTTGGGCTTGTGTTCCGAATTGAAGCTGAGATTTGGATTTTCCCCCGTGAGATATTGGGATGGCGCTAACCGGAAGTGTGGGCATAGGGCAGATTCCCGGAGGCCAAGAGTCTCAATTGGGAATGGTGGTGTCTATTTTTTGGAACAAGCTATGCCGGCAATAACTTACGAACTTGTGCAGCACAGGGACTCGCCAGCCCTTACAGGTACAGGAATAGCCGTCGACCCGCCAAGAGTCTTTGTTCCACCCTTCGCTGTCCAAGCGCTCACTGCACGTGTTTGGTCGAGCCGCACAGGTAGATTTCCAGTACTCGAGTACAAGTAGACTACGGTTCTGTACGGTACTCGTATGATACTGGAGTCTGCCAACTCTTATCACCACCGGGCCCTGTGATGCCGGCACTCGTGAAGTGCTCACACTGGCATCATCTTTCAGGTTCTCGGGGGGGGGGGGCATAGCACCATATCCAGCCCCGTTTCCCCCGTAAAAGGTCGCCTTTCTTTTCGATTGCAAGTGTCCGAGTGCAATACGGTACCGTCCTCCAGTAGAGACAACACTTTGTTCATGCTATAATTACTTATGATATGATAGGCCACTACGGGAACTATGCTTGTAGATACTACAACGGTATCTCACGAAATTGTGGGTTATCATAAATTTACCAGTGCCACACCCCAGCGGCACCAGTCCTCGTAAATCGTGATGCCGTGAACACTCACTCCAACAATGTGTAATACAGTGCCCGAGCGGCGTCATGATTTCGCCTACAAGCACAGTAGTGGGTGCTATGGCGCCAATGATAAATCACCTTAAACGAAACCATTACTAGTGCCACGCCCTGGTCTCGAAGGTGGGATCGCGAAAACAGACTTTGAAGCCCCTCATTTCTCGGTTACAGGTAGTTCAAGCCGTAAGATTGAATTTAAAGCAGATGGTTGGAGTGGCAGCGGATTATTGCCCAAGAGCTTTGAGGGCCTCTTTGACTAGTTGGCGTTGCTCCTTTCCGGTAAGGAATTCGCTCTGCTGAATACATCTCATTACACAGAGAGTCGTCTTGGGATCCCCGCTATGTACCCAAACCCTTCCGTTTCTCCCCACGGCGAGCTCGAATGACAAACTCTCACCCAATTCCTCCAACACTTCCCTTCCGCTACTCACGTCCACCCCGGCATCCTGGTATTTCTCGCCCCTTCTCTCCGCTTCCGCCTTTCTTTGCCTTAACCTGAGCGATCCGGTTTTCTTGGCATCCCCGAGTAACCTCCTAGCCATTCCCAGGCTAACTCCGAAGATAAAACCTCCTTTCAGTTCCCCAAACCCTTCAGCTTTACCGCTGTCGGCATCGTAGCATTCTAGTTCGGGATCTATATGCTTGTTGGCGAGGCTTATGCGGGCATAAACAACTGAGCCTTGATGAAGCATGGGTCGAGTTTTCTTTGTTGCTTGGGAAAACGCAAGGTGAGGTAATACCGCCTGACTTGTTGATGAGACTGGTGAATTCGAAGAGGGGATAGCACAGATATAGGAATCCGACGTAGACCGGAGAACTGTAGCTATGATGGCGTCGTTTTGCGAAGCAACATACTATTTTATTGCCTTATTAGGATTGCATGGCTTTCTGATAGTCTCAAGCACGGAAGGAAATACTCACGCGCTTACCGTTAGACTCCATCCAGATGGTGTGCTTTCGCTGGTCTATATTGAGCTCTCCGGCTCTGTTGACGATAAGTGTCGAAGGTAAAATATGTGTTAGCCCGGGGCCCACTTTGAAGGTAGCTTTTTTCTTCTCGTCCTCAAGCGGGGGGAGGGTTTCCCCCGGAAAGTGCACCTGAACCACCAGGGACATGACGATCTTTGGAAGGGAGGATGGAATGGACCGGTGGGATGCGGATGGGTGATGGCGTAGGTACACTCTGCTTTTGATTGTCTCAATGGTGGGATCGTCTGTGAGCCACTCCGAGAGGCTCAGATAGAAAGTCCCCAGCTGAGGGAAGCGCAGGGCTTGGCTTCACGTGATACTCGTCAACTGTGAAACACAATGGCAACGGTGACCTTTCTCTTCCCCTAAGCTACGTCTCAGCATACTGATATTACTAGGACCTGATATAACCACCTAGCACCCCCTCAACTTGGATCGCATACTGCATTCTTCGGGATTACGCATACGACAGGGTCTACAACATCTTATTCCCCCTCTCAAGAGAGTATACGCTTCTTTGACGGAAGGCGACCGAATGGCCAAAACATCGAAGAACACAATGGCTCGCCTTGGGAACGACAACAAGGTAACAATGAGTAGTGGGCGGGCAGTTGCAGCGGCGTTGGTTGACTGGGTAAGTGAATCCCCCCATCGCATTTATTTAAACGCGTACTATGGGAGATAAGGGGAATCGCAAAACGACAAAAAAAAACTAACTTATCACATAACCATACGACTAGATCAACGCGTGCCCTATCGAGCCGAAAATCTCAAACTTAGGAGAGCTTAGTGACGGATCCGTCATAACGAAAGTTCTATGTATGTTTCCGGAAGCTCACCATACCACCAAGAGTTCGGGAACTAGAGCTTGAGAGACTAATTACAGATTAGTGGCTATCGACCCATATTACTTCAGGTCTGCGGCCTCAAGCTCTGATGGGGCAGAAGGAGCTAGTCCGGGTGCTCATTGGATCGCGAAATTCCAAAAGTGTAGGATCTGTCCATGAACTCCCCACATCTTGGGGTGACACATCTAGTATGACTGACATGGTGACTTCTCGAGGCCTTGAGCAGTGAAGCGACTGCACAGGGAGCTGGCAAAGTATTATACCGAGAACCTTGGTCACAGGTTACCCAGTCCTCCACCAAACCTCACATTTATCGCGAAGGATGGTAATGTAGAAGAGAGTATCAAGGTTGGTTTTCGAGACTCCTGGCTATCATATTGCTGCAGTCGTCTGATAACCGCCAACGGTATATAGCTTGCCAAAATTATTGTTGCGTCGGCTGTGCAGAGCGAGAAGCGAGAAGAGTATATTCAATATATTCAGGAACTAAGTCCGAGCTCGCAGACAGAGTTGATGGGCGTCATTAGCGAGGTTTGGCATTCTAGGCGCTTCATGGATTTGTTCTGTTAACCTATAAGGGCGGCTAATCGTATTGTCTGGTATTAGATGATGGAGGCCGGCGGTGGAGAAGACTCCCCCGATATCACCTCTGAGCAACAGAAGCCGGAACTGTGGGTCTTTAGCACATCCTTTGTTCTCTCAATGTTTCTTGTTGTCTAATTTAGAATTTTGTGCAGAAATGATACAGACCAATTTCGCATGGAGGAAGAAATGGCGCGACTGGTCGCTGATAATGAGGCCGTCAATGCCAAGAACAACTCTCTTGAAAAGCGTCTAGCAAGTTTACAGAATGATTTTGTGAGTCAACACATTAATTTCAATGCTGGCCAGACTAACGCGGCTACCAGGAAGAAAATCAATCGCATCTCCTTGCGCTTCAAGACCAAATGTCAAGCAGTGTGGTAGATGGGGGGGGATATGCGAATCGCACAGATCCCTTCATGAAATCTCAGCTTGACCAGCTCCAGAGTGATGTGCAAAAACTTGAAGATGTCATTGCCGAAAAAGAATCTACTATCGTACGGCTCGAGGGGACTATATCAGGTCTTAACAGACGGGTAATGAACACTCCGGATCACCGAGATAATGTTCCGCCCTAATGTCGGTTTATAGGTCGAAGACCTGTTCCCCAAGGCAGAAGCCGGGATTAAATACAAGGACGATCTTGATGAAGCCAATCACACCATAGACAAGCTTAAAAAGAGACAAAATGTGGCAGAACAATACCGGAGGAAGCTGGAAGGCATGGGAGAAATGGAGAGGCTGGTCAAGGTGAATACAATCTCTCTTCCCTGTGGTTACAATCCTTCGCCTTCACAAACCGTCCCTGAGCTGTTGTTTCCTCACACGCTGTTTTGCTCTGGGCCATCTAGTCACTGGAACAGCAACTTGCTCAAAAGACGCACGATCTCCAAGCCAGCCTAGATAGCTCGAAGCAGGTACCTGGTCTCAAGAGGACTCTCGACCAGTACAGAGGGCGAATTGACAAAATTGATATCAAATTCGCCGAGTTGCTACGAGCGAAAACTATCCTGGAGATTGAGCGGAATACTCTCAGGGAGAAAGCTGCCGGGGCCGAGGGCCAGAAGAGTAAGGATATGGAGCGTATACAGAATCTCGAGGAGAAGGTCCGTGAGCTTGAAACCGGTGTAATAAGTAAAGCTGTCGAGGAGACCAACGGGGATCTGAATTCAGAGTTAACCTATAGCACCAAGACCAAAACTGATCTGTAAGTGGAAGATGGCCCTTTGCGTTATCGTGTTACGTGAGCAACAGCCTTTTTTCTAACTTGAGCCGAAATGATGCACATAAAAGGAAACTCCAAATATCACGATTAGAGAGCGAATTATCTCAACTAAAGGAAGGAACTAGCGGTACAGACGCAGACAATGTTATGTTACAACATATGCTAGATGATGCCACGAAAGCGAAGGACAAACTTGAGCAGGATTACTTGCAAGCACATACCGGGAAGCTTATCCTGGAAGCACAGCTAGCTGCAATTAATGGCGGCTCCTCGATTGAAGGGTTTGTAGTATTATTTAGTATCGTGTCACCAGCTCTACGCCCTGACTGACCTCCATTTCCCCCCCAGGTCCGAGATTTTGCTCAAAGTACGACAAAACCTTGTTGATGCGGAAGAGCAACTAATTGATCTGAAACGGAAGTTTGCTGAAGCTGATGCCGAGCTTTCCGTGACGAAGAGGGAGCTTACTACTGCTAAGTCTGATTGTTTGTACTCCTTGACACGCCCCACACTTTATTCTTCTCACCCCACGATATTGTTCCCACTCCACTCTACCAATATTTCTTCACTCCACTGCAATTGCTACTCTAGATATCGCAAGGATGGTTCAAGGGCTAATTCCGGGCGACCCCGGTCGAAAAGTGAGCCTAGTCGGAATGGATAAATTACAGGCACTAGCCGAGCTTAAGATTATGAATTCTCAGGAACTTATCGAGCTTCGCGGGGAACACGAGGAGGCGCAAAGCAAAATACATGACCTTGAGACCGAGATTGACCAAAGGAAGTCTCTTCTTAACACCATCTTGTTAGAGAAGGATGAAATTTACAAGAAGCTCTCTGAACAAGGGGGTATCATCTTGGAGAACGAAAGATCCAACAGCGAACTTAGAGCCACTATTGCCACCTTTCAGGGCACAGCCGAAGGTCGAGATGCGGCTCTTGAGAGGCGCGTTTTACAACTTCAAGAGAAGTTGGAAGACCAGAGGGAAAAGATGGTCAAGGCCCGCGAGGTACTTCAACTTCCCATCCTTCCTTCCCGACCAAGATTATTCTTAACGCGGAACCACCACAGCACATCAAAAAGCAGAATGGCATTATCAGGGACCTCAAAGAGAAGGTAGACGCAGCCGATTCTACTACCGCAGACGCAAACACAAAGTCCAAGGAGGAGCAGCTCGCTGAAAGTGATGTTTGTTCCCCTTTTTCACTCGATAATAGACCCAGATGGATTATTGACTTTCCAAATAGAAGAAGCGACGTGCAGAACTCGAAATCCTCGAGAGGGAGAACAAAATGATCGTATCGGCTTGGTACGACCAAGCCACCAGGCTGCAGATGAACAGCGTCGCGCTCGAGAGGAAAGGCGATACACCACATAGCTGGCTGAACAAGCAACGCGCTGCCTTGGCTAAAGCCGGTGGTGTCTAACCAAATTAAGTGTTGAGAAGTATGATAGCATGTGCGGGTACTGTGATCAGCCTCCGATCCAAGCCCTACGAATTACGAGACGATAATAGAATTCAAAGTTTCATACGGCGTTTCTGTTCTGTTCTGTTCTGTGGAAGATTTGTTGGCTTCCCCTTTCTTCTCTCACAAATCGTGTTCTCCTTTTTCTTTTCTCTTTTCTTTTCCTTGCTCACGCCCCTCCTCGGATGATATCGTACCATAGTGCAGTTTATGCGAGGGGGATATTCACGAATATCTCTCTTTTCCGCCTAATGAATGCTAGCCATATGACGAAGAAATGATTGGTGTAGGGGTTAGTTGGCTGGGGGGTGGGAATTCGGCTGGCTTGCGGAATGTAACAAATCCCCGTGCGTTTATGCTCGCCTAGCTTCCTTTGTACTGTGCTTTGTGTATGATACTATGATATCCACCACTTTTCTTTTTTCCCTCTCTTTTTTCCTTTTTCTCTATTTTTTTAGAGAAAAAAAAGTGGGGGGAACAGTATAGAGTAATACAGCGGGGAACACGACGAAGCTTCCTAGAGTATTATTACAATAATTATAATATTATCATACTGCACTATCCTTGATTAAATCGAACGTTTGGATCTAGAAAGGTTGCTGCACTTGCCCACAGCCGAACATTACCCCTCCTCACGGCAATCGGAAGCAAAGCATCGCTGTTCAGGCCATTGCGGCTTCCGGAAGACCAACTTACATATAGAGAATCCAAACACATTTCCTTCCCCAACTTAGAAGGCGTGAATAGTGAAAGGCAGAAGGGGGAGGGGGGGAATAGGTACAGACACTCTGGGAGGATTAATGCTCGGTGGGGCTGTGATAGCACTGCACAGTACAGTACTCTTTCCAGATTGGTCCCACGAACTATCACTCGCGGTATGGTGATAACCGCCGTAGGACATGAAGCTCCGGGGCCATTCCCCTAGGCTTTAAAATTCCCAATAGTGCACTACCATCCTAACTCCCCGTGCTTGTCATCTTGACCTAAATATGTGGGAGGGGGGGAACCCAATGCGGGGATCAAGTCTCTATCCTCCCAATATATCTATCTACCTGTGGTATCATATCGAAGTCGAGATTCTATCGTATCACATCACACCCCGAAACTTGAAGTACCTTCTTTCCATGGGCTATGTTTTAAATAAATAAACGCCCTGTGGGGTTTATCCTTATAATTGTAAGAGAGATCAATCCCGTGAGGCTTGAGTAGTCCCCCCCCCCCATCCCCCCTCAACTACAAGAGGGTAGTCTCACGCCGTGATTCCCCTTCCGTTAGATTCTCTCTTTTTGCGAGGACTATCGTTTTTTTCTTTCTTTTTCTTTTTCCCCTCCTGTAATTTGGAACATGGGTTTGAAATTTTCTGCTTGTTCACAGTTGTCCCTGACAAGGGTTCGTGCTTCCGATAGCCCGGGACTCAGAGGGGACTGTATGCACTGTATGATACTCGAGCGCAGGGGGCGGTGATATCCAGCAGCTCTCTCAGGTACGCGGACGGGCCGGAATCATCTTTCCTACCGTAGGCCGCCAAAGGCTAGGAGTATCATAAGTTAAGTTACCTGTTGCTTAGGCAGCTCCCTAGATGAGGATTTGGTGCGATAAGACCAAGCCTAACTAAATCCTACAGACGCCCGGATAACCTTCGTCGATTCCCAGGAAATCTAAGTAAAAAAAAATTATCCAGCATGGTTCGTACGCTTGCCATCTTTTACCAAAAAGAACGAGGGAATGAAAGCGGGTCATCAGCATCAACACCGTCTAGAAATAAAGCAGAAACAGGAGCACAGGTTATCTATTCCAAGAACCTTTTACACCACCAGGCCGCCCGACCGACCCAGTCCCGGATTCCGAAAAAGCAGCCCTCCCGTGGTCCGGCCCATCAGAGGGTTGTGAGTGTATATGGGATACGGGCGATGTCTCACGAGTGTAGTTTCGCACGTATTCAGTTCCGAGGACCAAGCAATGCAGTGGAACGAGTTCCTATGTATCGTGCACACCGTGCAACCAAACGCCAAGCGTAGGGATCCAAAAGACCTAATCTGATCTATCTGATCTCGGGAGGCCTGGCTGGTCCAATGGGAGACTGCAAAGCAGATTGGGGGGGGGGGGGGGTGGGATCACTATTTGTAGTACCTCTGGTCCTGCCACACTTGAGGCGAGAGGTTTTGATAGTGACCACGGGCCCCGACCGAGTGGGAACCATCTCGTGCCCCCCGGTGCTAGAGTCACGGGTGATTGCGCTGCGGATTTTACCCCCAAGGGCAGTGGGGTTGGTAAGGATCTGCAGAGGATTATAAGGGGGGCTGTGGGGTCCATAGATCTGACTGGTTAGAAGCAGTGCTTGGAGTGTTTTTTTTTATTTAGCTTTTCCGTTCACATTTCCCTATTGTTTTAGTCATTTAAAGGATACTGGTGTAGGATCAAGAATTCAGTTGTGTATCGTTCATGATATGAATCTCGGTGAGGTACGATACGGTGCCCGTCTGATGTGTAAATTACCATGACAGCACGAGTACTCGTACATGGCCTCCTGTCATGCCAAGCCAGGCTGGCAAAAACAGGTGACACAAAACTCACAAAGCCCTAACTGGTAAAACCCCAGCATTACCCCGCCACCCTAATACCGTACCGGGAAGTTGGCTATCATACCAACTGCCAATACCGGTAGATAACATACCCCACCATCCTCTTATCAGTCAGGCCAACAAAACGCGTTCACAGGAATTCACTCGACTACCCCCCCAACCTCACTTCCACCATAATCACCATAACCGTTACAATCATGCCACTACTCCACTTCCCAAACGAGCTGATCTTGCAAATCTCCCAAGAGTTATCACCACCGGACTTGAATTCCCTCCTAACCGCTAACCGTTCACTCTCGACGCTGCTGCAATCGCCGTTATACGACAGCATCTGCCGCAGCGAGGAGTTCATGGTAAAGTATAGTGAAAGCGCCCTGCACTCCGCAGCGAATCGCGGTGACGAATCGGCTATCGGGAAGCTTTTGGAGAGGGGTGCCCTGTGTCGTATTGATAATGACAAGTTTATGGAGAGGGTGGTGGAGAGCTTCGATGAGTTGGCCTTGCGGACGCTACTGGACGGCGGGTTCGACGTGAATATGCGGAACTCCTCTGGAAAGACGTTGCTGTCCATGGCGGCTGGGGGAGGGGTAAGGTGTGCGCACGGGGCTCTCGGGTGGCTGCTAGAGAGGCGCTCCGTGGATGTTAATGCTACCGATTTGGGCAGCTGCACACCCCTGGTGCACGCGGTTCACGGGCAGAACGTGTCCGCTGTTAGGGCGCTGCTGGCGGATAAGCGCGTGGACGTCAACCTCCCGAGTCCCTCTGGGCGGACGGTGCTGCATCAGGCGGCGGTGCAGGAGAGCGAGGAGGTAATAAGGCTGTTGCTAGAGCACGGGGACATCGAGGCTAACCCTTGCGACGATCGCGGGCTCACGCCGCTGTCCTCCGCCGTTGGTGAGAGGAAAGAGGTTGCCGTGCGTGCACTTTTGCGCGATCCTAGGGTCGATGTGAACCTTTTTGATAATTGCGGTCAAGCGCCGTTGCACTATGCTGCCGACCTGGGAGTCGATACGATTGTCCGAATGTTGCTGGATGTCGCGGACATCGAGGTTAACCTCCGGGACTTTCGTGGCTGGGCGCCCTTGTATCATGCTGCTATGCTGGGCAAAGAAGGGGTTGTGCAGATTCTACTTGAAGATGAGAGGGTCCAGGTTAACCTTGGCAACAAGGACGACGAAACACCATTGACTACGGCGGTGTTGGGAGGGTATGATAAGGTTGTCAAGTTGCTATTGAGGCGCCCGGATATCCAGGTCAATTCTCAAGACCTGACTGGCCGAACACCCTTAAGTTTCGCAACAGCCCCAATGACCCTCGGGCAGAGCGGCATGGTGAACTACGGAGAAGTCGTCCGTCTGTTGCTTGAGGACGAGCGAACGGACGTCAACCTCCCAGACAAGTTGCTCAGGACCCCCCTTCACCACGCATGCAAAAACTCGCAAGTCGAAATCGTTAGGCTCCTCCTAGCCCACCCATCAACAGACCCCAACGCTCAAGATTCGACGCGCTCGACCCCATTATCCCTCGCCACCCGCCTGGGCGGTAGCTTGGTCGGCACAGAACCGACGGTAGATGCCCTCCTCTTGGATCCCCGCGTCATCGTGAATTCAAAAAACGAAGACGGATTGACCCCCTTCCACCTGGCCGTCGAGCACACAAACATCGCTGTCGTCTTCCGCTTGTTCAATGACCCACGTGTCGATGTGAACTCCAGAAACTCCACCCTCCAGACACCCCTGCACACGGTTGCGGCCACCGCGGGCCAGTTCCGGGATATGCTCGCTGAGATGCTGATTGCGCGTGAGGGTTCGGACGTCAATGCTCGCGATCAAAGCGGGATGACACCTCTATCCACTGCTCTGCGGTCGGACGTCATCCACCGCGAGCCGGGGCAGTTAGAGGGGCTTGTGAAAACCTTTTTGAGGCACAGGGAGGTGGATGCCAATTTGCAAGATAACCAGGGGAGGGGGCCACTGTATTTCGGGGTAAAGAGGGGCGGCGATGGGAAGGTGCTCGAGATGCTACTCAAGCATGAGGGGGTCGATGTTGGGGTTAAGGATCGGGAGGGGAGGGATTTGTTGGAGGTTGCGGAAGCGGAGGGGAGTGATATTGGGGTGAAGCGGATTTTGAGGAAATATCTTGGTAAGGAGGGGGGCAGAGACAAAGACGAGGGAAGGTGAAGAAGGGAGTGGTGAGGGGTTAAATGGGGAATTTGATAGGGTGGTGGGGTAGATTTTCCTTTTTAGTGACGTTATGGGTATATGGGAAGAGCTCAATTGAGAGGACTTTATTCTTGGAAAGAATGTGACGCACAGTAGACTCATGGATGGGAGGATATCCGGTTCGGGTAGCACATTGTCTCCGAAAATATGCTAATAAACTGATGAAATTCGTGGGATATATCAGGGTACTCAAGCAAGGCAACGGCACTGGTTAGACATTTCATATCTCGTTACATGGTGGAAGGAAATTGTCACGACAAATCGCTACTACCATGACCAGCGCACGGACTCCCAGCCCATTGATTTCAGCAAAACAAGACTGCCCATTCAAGATTCATAGGATAGTGGCCCTCCAGATCTAGCTCTATGCACTCCAGCTCGAGCTATTTAGTAGGAGCCTAGTCCAGTCCAAAACCACACGCATGGAGCGAACCCAGAACCAATCCCCATTCTGCCGATTGATAATATATCCAGCACAGGTCGTCTAGTCTAAGGCACCCTATTCAAGACCTCCATGCGCACGTGCTATGCAGGTACGCTTCTTTTGAGGGGAGGAAGAAGCAGAAAAGAAAATAACAAAAAGAAGACTATACCCAGTCCACTGGTTTCCTCAGGACCTCTAGTAGTCTCTCTTCCCTTGAGCCGGGGGCTGGAGAGTGCATGTACTTCCAGCCGGCCGTTAGGGGTAATGACATTAAGATTCTATGGAATTAGTGTATCTCTATGTGAGGATGCGGGGATAGGGGGACTCACGATTCCACACGAGCTCCAGGAGTGTTAAGTCCAAAAGCAGTGCCTCTATCATGGACGAGGTTGAACTCAACATACCTTCCACGACGTAGCTGCTGCCAGGCTTTTTCTCCAGGAGTAAATGGCATATTCTACCACGGTTAAGCAAAACCCTCCAAGCTATTCCTAATTTAGGCAGCATACCTTCCGCTTCTGGATAATAGGAATATAACTCGGCAAGAATGCATTCAAGCAATCCTGCACAAAGCCGAACAACTGCTCAGGGTCCTTATCATCCAAATCATCAAAAAAGATTCCGCCAATACCCCTACTCTCCCCCCGATGTTTGACGCAAAAGTACTCATCACACCACTTCTTAAAGGTAGGGTAATAACGCTTATCGTGCTTCTCACACGCCTCCTTTATAGTTTTGTGAAAGTGAATAGCGTCCTCATCAAACAGATAACTCGGCGTCAAATCCGTGCCCCCACCAAACCACCACGCCTGAGTACTCCCGTCCTCAGCCATCGTCTCAAAGTACCTATAATTCAAGTGCACTGTTGGTGCCATCGGATTCTTTGGATGGAGAACCATACTCAGTCCCGCAGCGAAGAAGTCCAGGCTCTCGACGGCGGGATCAAGGTTCTTGTGGTCGGCTCTCATCTTCACTATCGCCGCACGTGGGAGCTTACCGTAGACCACGGAAATGTTGACCCCGGCTTTTTCAAATACGTTTCCCTCCTGCAGGACGCAGGAGATCCCACCACCACCGGAGGACTTCCGCTCCCAGGTGTCAATGATGAAGGGTTTCCCATCGACCTTTTCCAAAGCTGCCACTATTTCCTTTTGCTTTTCTTTGATGTAGGACTCCATTTTTAGACGCATAGGTGAGGAAGGGGTTATCCCGGATTCGTGTTTGTGAATGGCATCGCGTTTGTCGATTGCGAGGCTGGAGGGAGCGTCACAGTGGGTTTGGCTATATGGGCTCTGGGGGAGGACAATCAGCTCTAGACGAAGCGGAATGCGATTGTAATCTAGTCATTGACTGGAAATGGTAGTGGTAGAAGGGGGGGGGAGGAAGAGGTGAGGTAGCTGTACGTATGCTGCAGTTATCACCCCGAGAGCAACTGCTCCCGCAATTCCCACAGCTGTGGCGTACCTGCCATTGGGCTGTACGGAGGCCCTTGCTGGTGATGTGAAGCTCCGGAAGAGTCTCGGGGAATCCCGGGCGGCCCGGCGAAGGCGAGGTGAAGTGAGGCCTCTAGGTGAAACTAGACGGAGGGGCATTTCCAGATTGCGGGTGGGTGTCGGGGAAGGGATGGTTGGGTCGAGGGAGGGCGGTGGATGGCGATGGTAAAACACCCGCTCAGCTTTATATTCCGGCAGGCAAAAGACCCACCTGTCTGGAGTGCCGGTACCGTAATAATCTGTCTGGTAGGACACGCCCAGTGTGACCCACCTTTTAGTGACCTGACCGACCACGAAGAGGCCCCGGGTATCGGTCTAGGAGTAGGTTATCAGGTAATACCAATGCAAATATTCGCCACGCATGTTAACGCGGAGGCTCTTTTATCCGAAAAAGGATTGGAGTGAACGATTATGTCAGCGATACCGAGTTAGCCCCTCTTGGACCAGCTTCCAGGCTTGGCAGCTAGGAGCGTGGTGGGCTGGTTTGCTCGTCGTCACCAGCAGTTGGCCGGGTGCTGGATGGCTGGTTGAGCGGTTGACTGGTTGACTCGCTGGGCGTTGAAGGGGAAGGAGCATCCCACCCTCTCTCCCCTCCCTCCTCCTTCCTCGCCCATCGCACAGGACAAACTCTACGGACTCTCAAAGGTATGATATGATAATCACGCTCTCCTTCCCCCTCTTCAATCCCCGTCATCCACCATAACAGTGCTCGTACTCACGCTTCGTGACACTTCCCCCCCCCTCTTCGCCATCACACCACTCATCGCCCATTCCCCCAGCTCCTATTTCCCGTGCCTCGTAAACCAGTCACGGCACGATACCTGTCCTGTCGACTCGCTACTGTCATCGTTCCCCCATTCCCTCTCCTTCCCTCCTCCCTGCTTCCTTCCCCTCCATCTCATCCCTCCCCACCCCGCCCTTCCGCCCTTCTCCATTCTTCTCTGTGGCTGCACTTTAGGGTACGGTACTCGCACAATCAGTGGATCTTTTTTATTTCTCTTCCTCCTTTTTTCTATTCTAGATAACCAAGCTATCATACTTTGCTTCTCTTCCTTCCACGAAAGATTCACAGCACGTTTCTGGTTTCCCCGAGAAGCGCCTCGGCTGACCCAACCAATAAATAGCTGCTAGCTAGCTTTATCTACCCGTATCTCGTGTGTCTATCTGACCGCCGCTCAACCTCTGACTGTTAGGTCTGCCGGTGGTACAAGTAAGTAACCTTCCTCTCCTCTCCCTCTCTCCTCCCCGCCCCTGCCCCTCTTCCTCTCTTCCACCTCCAACCCTCCTTCATCATTGCTACCTCGCCTCGTAACCACCAACCACTCACTCGTCACTGCGGCTTTACTTATCTTATCACAATCACACACGCACTCCCAGCTCACCCCTGCTCCACAGCATAAATAGACTCTCTCATCGACTCTCCTTCCAACCACCGTCTTTAACCATCCCTTTAGAACCTTCAGACCCTCTTTCAACAGAGTTTTCGTAGTTCGACAAGTCTTTCAAAATGCGCAGGTATGCTTGTTCCCTGGAGCCTTTGTTCTCAGCCTCGTGGCGAAGTTGACCCCGCTCTTTCACAGCAAGTTTAAGGATGAACACACCTTTGAGAAGCGCAAGGCGGAAGCCGAACGTATTCGTCAGAAATATGCTGACCGTATTCCGGTATGCTCCTTTCACTCGTCAAGCACAGGTAAAACTGCTCGACTTGTTCGCCGTACTAACATTTTATGTTCTTGTCACCAGGTCATCTGCGAGAAGGTCGAGAAGTCGGACATCGCAACGATCGATAAGAAGAAGTACCTGGTTCCTGCGGACTTGACTGTCGGCCAGTTCGTCTATGTCATCCGCAAACGCATCAAGCTATCCCCGGAGAAGGCTATCTTCATCTTTGTTGATGAGGTGCTTCCTCCGACCGCCGCTCTAATGAGCTCCATCTACGAGGAACACAAGGACGAGGATGGCTTTCTCTACATAACGTATGTCACCGCTGGAGATACCCCGCATCCGTCTTGCTGTGAGGCTAATTATTTTTCGACGCACAGCTACTCTGGTGAAAACACCTTCGGGTTTGAAGAGCTGTTGTAAACCGTCGAAGGGAGTTCAGGTGTGGGGGGATGGCTTCTGATTTCATTTGGGAAAGGCCCACTGGGTGGAGAGATTGGTTGAAGGTTTTTCCTTTTGGGGGAGAAGGTTTTCTGGCGTTGGTCCGAGTCGATAAGCTCTTTCTCATAAGAAAATCACCTTGCCCATTGGACTCCCAGAAGGGCCCTATTTTTTTCTTGTTTCCTCTTGTTGAGTGCTTTAAATGGCTTGAAATTCACTTGGTAGTTATTGCTTTTTCTTGGGTTTCCTTTCGATCCGCACGGTCATTCTTGTTTTTTTCTCCCGGTTACTGGTTATCATGGGAAGTTCCCACAAGGCCGCGTGTATGAACACGATAACTCGTAGAAGGGATTAGAGACAAGGGGCTGCATTTTTTTTTTCTTTCCCTGTTATTTCTTGTGCTTTCCGTTTTCATACTTTTCCAAACCGCTTCTCAACTGAACTCTCTCCCCCAACGAAAGTTTTCTGGAGAACATAATGGGTCTAGTTTTTCAAAACTATCACGACCGAGTCCGAATTTGCCATTTGCGTTCCACTTTGACTTGTCTTGTAATCACAGTATCCCCCATGACATCAACCCAACCTTGACTCATCCCATCCCATCTCTCCAAGATCAGGCGCAGGTACAAGCATAATACAACAACTGAGCCTCACCCACCAGCCAACCCACCCAGTGACCCCCCCCCCCTCATCACGCGTTAAAGTACTTTCCAACCCTCCTATGATACACGTCGTATCATATCATATCATACCCACCGGTCAGCCTGGTGCACGCCTACCGCACACAGCGAAGGGTTACGGGAGGGGAGGGGAGAATGAAGGAGAATACCAACCGAGTAAACAGCCCCCAAGCTTCGCCCCCCGATCTCCCGGCCTCGGCTTCTTCGCGGCGGATGCGGATCGTGGCGGCGGTTGTGCCGATCAGGAGGGCGAAGAGGGGGTCCAGAGTTCTATTAAATGAGTGAAGGTTGGTTGACCGGTCGGTACGCAGGTAATGGGGGGGGGGGGGGGACAAACTTCGATATTAGATAGACCCGTTGTGGCATTTTTGAGATTTGGGTACGGTATTGATATCGTACTGTGGTGGGATTTTCAGCCCGGCCTTGTTGGTTCAGTAAGGTGGGTTGTGGGAACTGTGTGCAGTACAGTGCTGTAACGGTATTGAAGGGATGAATGAGTGTGTGCGTATGGTATCATACCCTACCAGTTTGTGTGTGCGTACTTGTACTGTACGAGTACTGTACTGGTACAGTACGTGGGGGTTCTTGGCGATTCACGATTTCGTCATTGATACAAGTATCACAAAGTTAGCTGCCGGTGCCCTTCACCATCATGTAATATCCAAGTATGATACCGGATAGATATTGTATACGACGAGCAAAACATCGTATCATACAATTCTCTCTATATTTAAAAAAAAAGCCCCGTGATATAATACAACCTCTCCTTCTCCCCTCTCCGCCAAATCTCGCCTTCCCAAAAATCTAAAGCTTGGCCCGAACGTACCCCTCACCACCCCCCCCTACGACCTTAGCCTTCTTCTTCTTCTTATCGTTGCCCTCCCTCTTCTTCTTCGGCGCGCCCTTGCCGCGAGCCTTCTTGCTCTGGACGTCCTGCAGTCGCTGCCGCTCCTCCTCGTCCACGAAGCTCAGCATGGGGAAGTGTCGTCGCAGGTCCGGGATGCCGAAGCGTCGGCCGGGGAGGTAGTAGTCCAGCAGGGTCGGGCCCCTCAGACGCTCGCGTAGTACGCGATTGCCTGTGCGTAGGTTTTGCGGGTTGTAGGTTGTGGAGAATATGCGGGCTGATGTCTACGGGTGGGTTAGTGCGGGTTGTGATGGTGGTTGAGTCAGAAGAGGGGGGGAGGGGGAGAAGAGCGGAGGGAAAGGGGGAGGCAGGACTTTGGCTAGCTCTTGGAGACGTTCTCTCGGCGGGAGGGCTTTTGTCGGGACGAGTTTGACGATCGTTGACATTGCCGTTGCCATGGTCGTGATTTCTCGGTGGGGGGAAGTTGCTGATTCGTTTGGATGATGGGTAGAAATTATTCGGTTGGTCCGTGCACAGGAAGTTTCCGTGAGACTGCGGCTGTCAGGTCAGGGCAAGTCTTGGTGCCACTCTCTAACTAACACTCCAGTTCACCAACTCAGCAACAAACCACCCCCTTCCAACGACCCCCTTCATCCAAAAAAAGAAAATTTCAAAAATTACCGATATATTTTAATTTATAATTATTTTGAGAGGAGATCATAATATCTGTTTCAAACAGCTCATTGATATATAATCCAAAAAAAACCCCACACTTCTATTTTTCCAACAAAGCAAAACCCTTCAAGCCCATAGAAAACAAGAGTCATCACCACATAAGCCCTATGATTACACCCTTTGAGGAAATGATTTTTTCTAGACGCAATACAAGAAACGAAACACGCTAGTTTTTTCTACCTTTGCATCGCTATTCTGATGGAACCACTTAAAGTTTGGCACCAACCAACTGAGCGTACTTCTCGGTGCTGAAGGATTTGGGTCTCTCGATAGGGGCCCCCACAGCGCGATCAATGATGAGTTGAGGAAGGACACCCAATGCACGGGAAACACCGAAGAGAACAGTGTAGTAGTTGGCCTGAGTGAGTCCGTAGTACTGAAGCAAGACACCAGAGTGCTGGAGAAATTTGTCAATATCAAAAGGAAACTATAGGACTATTCAGAAACTTACAGCGTCAACATTGGGATAGGGGTTCTTGGTCTTTCCATGCTCAGTGAGGACACCGGGAGCAATGTTGTAGACCTGGCTGACCAGCTTGAACATTGGGTCCTCGGGAAGTTTCTTGAGAGCGAACTCGCGCTGGGACATGTAACGGGGATCGGTCTTTCTCAAGACGGCGTGGCCGTATCCGGGAACGACACGACCAGCATTCAAGGTGTCCCACAAGTAGCCCTTGATGGACTTGTCACTTAGATCGTCACCAACTTTCTTCTTCATCTCGGTGAGCCAGTTAAGAACTTCCTGGTTGGCCAATCCGTGAAGAGGGCCAGCAAGGCCATTCAAACCAGCTGCGAGCGACAAGTATGGAGAGCTAAGAGTCGATCCAACTAAGTGGGTGGTGTGGGCAGAGACATTACCACCCTCCTATAGGGGGAGTTAGTAAGAGCTTAGATATCCTGCAGATGCTTTGTGAGTACATACGTGATCGGAGTGGATAACAAGGTACAACCTCATGAGATCAACAAAGTCCTTGTTGTCTCCGAAGCCAAGCTGGTTGGCCAAGTTGAAACCGTAATCCTTATCCGCCTGAATAGGAACGACCTTTCCATCCTTGAAGACGTTGCGGTAGATCTTAGCAGCGATAGTAGGAAGCTTGGCAATCAAATCCATGGAATCCTCAAAGGTGTAATTCCAGTATTCCTTCTTGTTAAGACCCTTGGCATATGCCTTTGCGAACTGGGACTCGTGCTCGAGAGCAGTCACGGCAAGAGAGAATTGCGCCATTGGGTGGAGAGTGTTGGGGCATCGGTCGATAAGTTCCTCAACAAACTTGGGGACAGAAGAACGGGCAGCCCACTCGGCGGAGAGCTCGCGAACCTGCTGCTCAGTAGGGACTTCTCCAGTCAAAAGCAACCAGAAGATACCTAGTAAAACATCAGCGGTTGAACATAAAATGGCGGGTATGGAGGGGGAGCAAACTCTCGGGAAGTGGCTCCTCTCCACCAGGTGCCTTAGGGAGAACGGCCTGGCATTCGGGGATCTGCCAGGGAAATTTAGATTATATCAAACGGCCCGGAGGCTCTTGTAAAGAGGAACCTACGGTCTTCCCTCTAAACCTAATTCCCTCCTCGGCGTCAAGGACGGAACCCTGGGAATGTATTAGATACCAGCCATCCCATCAACACCTCGAAAGACAAGATGCAGATAGCACATACCTCCCATACAAGAGCCTTGATACCTCGAGCACCACCATAGACCTGGTCCAGAGTAACCTCACCAAGGACCTTGGAACCGTGCTCCCTGCAAATTATGTCAGAAACTAACAACTCGAAAAATGAGCAACTCCGACATACTTCTTCAGCTTCGTGATCTTCTCGATCTCCTCAGGGATCTTCGCAGCAAAAGTCTCTTTGAGAGTCTAAATAAGGTTGCTGGGTTAGCGTAAGCCCGCCGAGTGGAACATAACAACAACGAACCTTGGGCTTAACGGATGAATAGTAGCGGAAACCAGCTCTTTTAATGCCGAAGGAAGTTGAAGCAGACAGAGAATTCCTCAGGGCGAGGGCGCCAATTCTCATAGGAGCAGCCATTGCGATGTGAAAATTAGAGAGGTAATAGGTATCGATGGAGAGGATGGGAGAGGAGAGAAGGAGAGAAGATGTAAGACGTGGTTGTCTTTGAAGGAGGAAGGAAGAGGAGAGGGTGAGGGAAAAAAAAAAAAGTTGTTGAGGTTTTTCCTGAAGCGCTGCCCTTCGGAGAAAAAAGTGCTCGTGTGGACAAGCTAAGACGTCAGAACTAATGGAAACCCTCGTTACCAGAGCCACAAGAACTCCTAGCTGTAGTATGAAGCCCCGGACAACCCTCAATTGTATAGAAGAATACTTTGACCTGAATATTTGGCAATATACTCCAACCCTATCGACTCCATTTACTCTGGTTCTCTAAGACTCGCCGCGCACGAGTAAAACCTTTGAACTTTCAAGGTCTGCGGCTTAGGGCTTAGGGCTACCTTCCTAGAAGGGGGCAAAAAAGTGAATTTGCCACCTCAACCCAACTGTCTAACCTCAACCTGTCAGCAACTTTTTCGGTGGCTTGAGGTTGCGATCGGAATCAAGCCGTGTCTTCACACTCCCCAAGCTCTCGTTGGTTGCCGGAGCCCGCCCGATTGAATTGATGGAGGCTATCCGAAAGCTTGGCAGATTTTCGTCCGAATATCAAAGCCAAGGTTCACATTTGGTCACTCGAGATACTCTTCCCGCCCCAGAGTTGCTGTGAGCGCCACGGGTTTAGTTGCTGGCTCCAACAAGTGGTATGTGCGCGACCGAAACCCACATTAGTCACGTGGTGTAACGTCTTCTTTCGTCAAAGAAGAGGGTGTCACTATGCTGGCCTTTTGTTAATGGGAAAAAAAGAGGGGAGAAAAAGGTCACCAATTGCAGACTCCTACCGGTCGGTACTAATATCCTTTTAAGATATATTATGGGACCGCACAGTACTTGTACAGTGCCAGTATCCTAGAATTGCAAGAACATGCCGGGTTCTATGATGCTTTCCCCTACTGGACTTCTCCATTCTCCATCCTTCTGCATGTGTCTGGACACTTTATCATAGGTGCTATCAACCTTGGACAGGTCAATATAACAGACATAACGAGTGATTCGGAGAATTTTCTAGCTAGGAGAGCAGTATTTAAGCGGGGCAAAAGTTGATCCGCCGACTCTGGTTCAGAGGTATCCTGGGTCCCGGAAAGAGCTAAGCGGGTTCGTGATTGCGTAAAGTATATTTCCTTTACAATTATAAAGACTGCCTTTCAAAGCGTCTCTATCCCATGGACGGATGAGACATGCAGATTCCGCACCTTCCGTATACCGGTATGGTAACTATGCTGTGGCTAAGTGACTTCTCCGCAAAATAACAGTTGATATTTTATGATTTTGTTGGGTGAAGTCAGTAGGCCACACCCGGATTAGGAAGGAGCGGAATCTGCTTGTCTCATCCGTCCATGGGATACATGTATAATTCTCCTCTCATCCCACACTCTACTCATGTCGGAGACTCCACTCTCACTAACTACCGTACTAGACCACTGGTCACATTGCCCTCAGTGCTTCGAGGGCCGATTGCGGGTGGTTATCACACCTTTCCTAAGTTCCAAGCAATGGGTCGCAGCAGACGTGCAACCTACACCTCACAAACATCGGTTCACTGGCCCACAACCGCAAGCACTCGACAGCAGGGGGGCCGCACTCGTACCTGTACAAGTACCGTACCGTACTCGAGCACATCCATCCCAAAGGTACCAGTAGGGGCCAACTAGCCACTACTGCGAAGGCGGTCGGGCGAGGGGCAGACACTAATTATCAGGTCCCGAAATGCCGAATATTGACATAGGGAGTATTACACCGATGCCAGTGGTCTGGAGGCCTACTAGTGCTGAAAATTACAGCGATATTCGTGGGGGTGGATTACACCCATGACAAGACGTGCATGGAAATGGATATGTGTGGTGATCGGTGGAAGGATAGAATGATGATATCGGTAGAAGTGCGAAACAGAGATCTTCTTTCCTCGCCTAGGTCCTGTTGTACGATCGTGCCTTATCCTGTTGCTACAACCCCGCTGTTTTTGAAAATAACCAAGTGCCAAACAGAGATCTTCTAAATGTCTTGTACGATCGCCGTATCTTGCGTTCAGCTGCTGCTGTTCTATCGTCGCCCGTAGCTTTGCCGTATTTCGTTGCTCAAGCTGTTGCCATTTAAAAAGCTAACGAAAGAAAGAAATGCTTCATAAAGGACTCCTGCTGTTCATAGCCTCCGCGCATCCGGCGTTCCCAGCTTCCCTGCAACAGCCTCCCTGCGACGGTCTCCTCCCGCCGACTTCCTTCCGACGGATCAATGGTCTGGAACGCGCGCCAGACTGGGGCTCGTTTCGTAGAGAAACACTGTACTAGTACATAGGATATGATCAGATACATGATACCATACACTGACCCACTGTAAATGTACCACAAAACACTTTAGATCTCGGTAGAGAGATGGGATAACAGGGCAAAGTAACTTCGCCACAAATATATCACGAATACCCACCCTCACCAGAACGCTGGACTTGTTAAATAAACCCCGTAGCCCCCCCGATCACTCCAGCTTAATACCCTGGTTGGAGAATCCTAGATTGGCATGGAGCATATGCCCTGTATATTCCAAGCTGGTGAGGTTTCCGTCCTTACCCGTAGGCAATTACAATGAGGCTTCCGAAGGGGGCAACGGGGTAGACTAAGCGGAAATGGGAGCAGAGGAGGGCTATGGGCACTAATCCTATGTTTCCTGCGATTGGGGTGGCTGAGGAGGACATGCTAGTTGCGGATTCCCGGGCCTGGAGCGGAGCCGCAGCTCCGTAACGCGTTTGGAAAGATCCGCAATGTCCGTTGTTTGCTTGATCGTGCTCTAGCTCTCCCTGCCTTTAATCTCTCGGGAGAGCAGTACTGAACGTTAGGCTTGATGGAGTAAGATTTACTGAACCTTGGCAACGGTAATGTGGCCCATTGCCCAGCTGTAGAAAGGGTTTGACTACTAGCGGAGGGGCTACTGGAGGTCAAACCCTTGGTAGCCCTATGGCATCACAGAGGGTCATTCAGTCCAAATGATACAGGGTTCGATTATCCGGTTGTGGGTAATAAGGAGGGTGGCCCACCCGAGGCCTTAGGCCGTGCCTGAGGGGCAGATTCTGGGGGGGCATAACAGCGCCATCGCCCTCGTACGGCGGCACACGGAGGCCCATTCAAGCAGCCCACATGGGGGGGGTGTTGCGTAAACTATCACTGTGGTCGATATTAGAGCTTTCCACCTCTACCAGACCAGCTACAATCTCATCCAGAGGTTAGATGCATAGTGTAGATAATTAAAGGTGGAGCGAATATCGAATGTCCAAAGTGCGAAAGAGGTTCGGGGGACAAACCGGAAGAAAGTGCCTTGACCTGCTCGGAATTCAGATGACGCAGGCGGGTCCCTGCCATTGTCCGGGGCTGCACCAACAGGCCTAAGGTGAGCCAAGAGGTACTCCTAAAGGGTAAAGCAGACTATCCAAACTATGAGGGCCACCTGCCTACGAGGGCGGGTCCAACAGCCTCGCTATTGAAGGAATGTTGTCGGTATTGAAGCATGGCGGCCCACAAGGCGGAAATGTCAGGCATCGGCCACCTCTCCCCGGCACCTCCCCCGGTCCCCTTACAACCTGTTGAGAAGAGCGCATTCCCGCCGGTAACAAGCCCCTCTTGGGCGGATGTCAATGTCACCCAAGCACACCTCACATGAGTGTCGGGGGGTTATAACAGCGCCATCGTCCTTGCATGGCGGCGTGAGGAGGCCCGTTCAAGCAGCACGCATGAGGGGGGGGGGTTGCATAGGTAAACTATCCCCCCGGTTGCTATCAGAGCCTTCCGCCTCTACCGGACCGACACTCTAGAGGTTGGATGCACAGCGTAGATGACAGAACGTGGAGCGCTTATCGAATGTCTAAAGTGCAAAAGAGGTTCGGGGGGCGAAGTGGTGAGGTAGAAAGAGCCTTGGCCTGCTCGGAGTTCGGATGAGGTAAGCGGGCCCCTTGGAAATGATTCTATATACATATATTTGGCACTGTCATGAATGAATGCACTACTCAAGTAGAGTGCCTGCAATCCAATCAGCAGGCTCGGTAATATATGTACATACAAGCAATCAATCCTTTTGAATGAATCAGTCAAAAGGCCTACATATCACCTAGCTTCAATCCTTATAGTGGTACATTTTACGGATATACGCTCAAAGGTTTAAAATGTTATCTTTCAATTGAAAAAGCACAAACTACCTTTCCATACCCTCCCCACAGCCGCCACCTATACCCACCCGCATGCCTCAATCCGAATGACGAGGATGAGAGCATACTCGGCTATCGCGAGGATTACGAGATACACAATGACAATGGTGGGAACACCGGGGTATTTGGGGTAGCCATTGATGTTGGTGTGGACATCAGTGACCCGTGATATGGCACGTCTGCCCAAAGCCAGTGTTATGGAATAGCTGCACAAAGCCCCGATTAGGAAGCCGATAGCTATAGGCTACCACCACGTCACAATCCGAACCGTGCCTGCATCGTGGCACTGTGCCATGTGTTGATCTGTCGCCCCTGCCGATGGCATAGCTGGTACTTGAGCGAGGTGGAAACGGATGTATGTACAGGCCATTAATGCTGGCCGGATCCAACGCGTTTCTAGGGATAGCAAATACCTTCTGGGGGGCGTCGGTCATGGTAGTTGTGTTTAGCGTGTAGGATGTGTTTAAGGGGAGGACGTGCTCAACGTGTTCGCAGGAGTGAGGAGTGAGAATGGAGATGGGCAGGTGGGTGGTGGGTGAGGAGAGGAGATGGGGAGGGAGCTATGATAGCTCAGGTTAGGACTTGGTGCGGCTCTGCGAGCAGGGATTCCCAACCATAACCTAAGACACCTCCCCCCCCCCCACGACTTCCCGTGCGAGGACAGCAACGTGATATATACAGCAACGCTTGGAGTGAAGGTCAGTGATTAGCGGTGCATCACCACATCAAGGGGAAAACAATATTGTGGACTTTAAAAGCTATCTTATGTAGGAGGGACTCTTCTATGGCACATGCAGTACTGCCCCCCTCCCCTTACCATCGGATAGAATTATAATCATACCGCAGAGAGGATAGGTGATGCTAGGCCTAAAAATTTGGCGTCTAAAGTACCGCAGCAGACTGAGAAGCTATTTCAACGAAGGAATAGTAGACACACACTTTCGATGATGATATCATCGTACTTATATTAGAGTACCCGTAGACGAAGTACTAAGTATACCAAATTCGACTCCATCAGATATAACTTTGTGATACTACCTCAGGGATCCC